GGGAGGGAGGGGATGGCCATTGATGGTCATGTATGGTCATGGATGGATATGGATGGGGCGGTGCCTTGTGCCACACCGATGGCTGGTGTGTGATCTGTGGTCTATGGTCCATGGCTTGTGGTCTATGGTCCATGGCTTGTGGTCTATGGTCCATGACCTGTGGCACTACTGCGGTGGCTGAATGTGGTCCAGCCCCTGGCTCACTCTCCCGTCTCTCCCCTCTCCACAGGTCACGCCCTCGTGACCTCCCCTGCCCCCCCCCCCCCCCTCCTTGCCACTCACTCCTCTTGACCCCCCCCCCCCCCTACCCCCACTGTGCTAATCCCTGTCAAACACTCTCGCCATGCACCTCCGTCTCTCTACGGTTGCTGCCGTCCTCGCCCTCGCCGTCTTCGCCCTGTCGGCTCCGGCGACGGCTGCTGTTGCCGACTCTCACTCGGTTCTTGTCCTGCTGACCCACTCCCCGGCACAGCGGAGCGCCCTGCATGCCGCTGCACTGTATGCCTTTGGCAGCCACCCGTACCGCTCGGCGTCTGGCCTCGCCAAGCTTGTCGGCTCACCCAAGGCCACCATCGCCGCCGTTTCGGGTGCACTGGCGGCCAAGGCGCCCAGCGCCCGTGTTGTCGTCCTCCCCTCGGAGGACGCCATTCTTGTCTCGGGCCTCGATGCACCGACAGCAGCGGCGCTGGCAGCTACTGCTGAGCCGACCGCCCCGATGCATGCACCGGCTGTCCTGCACCCAGCCATCGAGGCCGCGTTTGTCATCCACGGCGAGGCCGATCCGACTGCCCGCGCCCAGGCGCTGCCGGAGGTCGAGGCCACAGGCGCTGCGACCGGCGCCGGCGCTGGCGATGCCTCGGGCGTCCCGCCCCAGCTCCAGCGCGAGCTGCTGGGCATCGATGCGAGCGTGCGTGGGCCCGGTGCGTCGGGCGTCCCGGTCATGGTCTGGGGCCCCGGCACGTTTGGCTACCTCGCCTCGGATCTGCAGCAGTACTACTCGCAGTGGGGCGTCAACAACTCGGTCTCGCTCCTCTCGCACCACGGCGCTGACGGCACGCCCGGCGGCGACAACTTTGGCGAGGGCACCCTCGACACGACCCAGTCGTCGGCTATCGGGCTCGGCGTCCCTATCTGGGTCACCAACACCAACACCTCATCGGCCAACGAGGAGGGTCCGGGCTTTGGCTACGCTTTCCTCGGCTTCTCGACCATGCTTGCCGCCGCCGACGAGTCGAAGCTCCCGGGCGTGCTCTCGATGTCGCTCGGCTCGATCTCGTTCGAGGCGTGCTCGCGCATGTGCGAGACGCTTGTGGCTAAGCACCCCATCTTCTCGCTCGACTCGTGCAACGAGTTTGTCCGCTTCAAGCAGCGTCAGGTCTGCATGTTTCCTTCGGCGGCCGTCGCGGACCGCATCGAGGCCGAGCTTGCCAAGATCACTCTCCGCGGCGTGTCCATGGTGGCGGCGTCTGGCGACGGCGGCTCGCACTTTTCGTTCCAGCCCTTTGACCGCCTCTCGCTCATTGGCGACGCACTCAACAAGATTGCCTGCGCCACCAACTCGCCGACCTACCCGGCGAGCTCGGCATATGTCCTTGGCGTCGGCGGGCTCAACCCGCCGGCGTCTGCGTCGTCCAGCAGCCAGCCGTCGTGGCCGGCCTCTGGCGGCGGCTTCTCGTGGATCATCCCGCGTCCGGCCTACCAGGACGCGGCTGTCAAGGCGTACCTTGCCAACTCGGACCTCCCACCTGCGACCGCTTTTAACGCCTCTGGCCGCGCGTACCCCGACGTGGCTGTTCTCGGAAACGACGTTCCCATGGTCATCCAGGGCAGCGCGGTCGTGAGCGGCGGTACAAGCGCGAGCGCCCCCGCTATGGGCGGCTTCATGTCGCTCATCGTCAACGCGCGCGCCGCGGCCGGCAAGTCCAATTCGGGTCGCCTCGGCCTGTTGCCGGCGCTGGTCTACTCGCTCGACGCGGCCCACCCCGGCGAGCTCTTCGACGAGCCGACCGACAACGGGTCGGCGTCGTCGGCCTGCACCTCGGCCGGCTTCTGCTGCCCGATCGACTCGTCGTTCCGGGCCGCCAACGGCTTTGACCCCATCACCGGCCTCGGCCGGCCTGTCTTCCCAGCCTGGCTCAAGTACATGTCAGAGGCGTGAGCATGGAATGAACTCACCGGTTTTTACGGCGGCTCAAGGTCGAGAGCTGCGGCCTTGGCGAGGACAACCAGGACCTGCGCATACGTCATCGGAGGCGACGACCAGAACGGGAACGAGCCCTCGTGCGCAAACCCGGTGTACGGCGGGACGTGCTCGCCGTAGAACGTGGTGTTGAGCATAGTGGCATAGGAATGCTTCGGCACCACGCCCTCCATGGCGCACACAAGCTCGTCAGTGAGCGCCGAGTCGGGCGCGGTGTGCGGGTCGACGGTCGTCCCGTTGAGGAACGCGTTGTAGTTGGAGGGGAAGAAGAACGGCAGGTCCATGCCCTTGACCGATCCGGAGAAGAACGCGTTTTGGGCCTTGGTTCGGTGCGGTAGTCCGTTGTGGGCGAGCCACGCGAGGCCGCCTCGAATCGCTGCCAGCACCTTGGACGGGGTGTGGGCAACGAGCGCGAGCGCGCCGCGCTGCGGCGAGACGCTCCAGCCGTTGATGAGGGCGTGGACGACAGTAGCAGTGGTGAAGACTCGGTCGTTGCCGTGCGGTTTCTTGCCACCGTCGCCGAGGAAGCCATCCCAGTACAGGCCACCGTCGTCGGGCGCGACAGTAGCAGTGGCTAGGAGCTTGTCGGTGGCTGGCCCGCGAAAGGCGGGTGTGAGCAGATCGGCAACTGTTTCAAGCACCGGAAACGGCCGCGGCGCCGGTGCAGAGGAGAGCGCATGGACGGACCGCGAGACAAACCAGAGCATGGTCTCCACCGATGGGTAGTACGTCAGGCCCAGGTCCGGCCGCTCGTCAACGCGGCCGGACGAGATGGCCCACGCCAAGTACGCTGCAGAGTCTGCGTAGATAGACTGCAGCTCATGGGAGAACCACGAGGAGGCGATGTCAAAGTCGGCGAGCGCAGCGTAGGTCATCGAGATGAGGTTGTTGGCAATGACGGTGCAGTCAACGTTGTTGACGTTGAACGGCATAGTGACCCGAGCGGCGAGTAGCTCCTTGTCGAGCTGGAGATCCATGACCCAGGTCGGGATGAGCGAGATATTCTTGGCAGCTTGCGAGGTGAGGAACTCGTGCGCAAAGTAGTACGTCCGTGGGTCGATGAGCCCAGCATGGGTCGTGTTGGCGTGGGGACGGTAGGCGTAGCGGACAATAAGATCGGCCCAGGCGACCGGCGACGGGTTGTGCCGGCGCCAGCTGGCCTCGGCTGAGGAAAAGGGACCATCTGTCTCGGCGAGCATGGCGCCGAGCAGAATGTTGAGCGCCGAGTCATCAAAGTCGGATGGGATGCGGAAGGCGGCGGCCGAGTTGGTGATGGCGTCAGCGATCTCTTCAGCGTACGGCAGCAGGGCCTTCAGATGCAGGGCCGAAAGGAGTCGCTCGACGGCGTCGGCGGCGTCCCTGCCACCGTCGATGACGCCAAACAGGTTGGGCGGGCTCGCCTCAAAAATGGAGGCGTTAACCGGCGACGGGCTCTGCGGCCAGAAGACCATCGAACCAGAGAAGAGCTTGTTCTTGTCAGCAAAACCAACGACGGCCTCAACAGCAGCATCGATGGCTTCCGGCGCAAGCGGACCCGTGCTTTGCAGCTCGGCCGGGAGAAAGGGCCGAGCATCGAGAAGTGCCTGGACCACAAACATGGTCACAAAGCAGTTGGAGTCGTCGACCGCCAGGTTGTCACGGATAAAGTCGGCGAGCGGCGATCCCTCAAAGTTAAGGCGGATGTACGAGGCATACTCTCCGCGGATATGAAAGAGAGACTTGGGCGGGGCGTATGGCGTTGATGCCTGAGCCTGGTGCGCGGCGATGGCGTCGAGGAGGGTGGGGAGGGTGGGGGCGGTGGCGGTGACGGCGGCGGGGGTGGCGGCGGAGGCTAGGACGACGAGGACGAGAAGGGCGAGTGTGGTCAGTGGGTGTAACATATATAAATGCGTGTGTGTGCGTGCGTGTGTGTGTGTGAAGAGAGAGGGGGGGGAGAGGGGTGGTGTGGTGTGGTGGTTGGGAAGGGGGGGGGGGGTGGGGGGCTGCACGGGTGCATGCACATCAGCGTTGGTGAGCGTGTCACGGCCAGCAAGAGAGCGAAGGAGAGCGGCAGATACCACCTCTGCCACGGCTAGTACATCTGATTCTGGATGGTCGGGGCTGCATGTGTCATGTTAGTGTGGGCGGATGGGGTGATCGCCGTATGGCAAAGAGGGAGACGGTGAGGATGGTGCCGCAGATGAGGCCGAGGGCAAAGCCTGAGACAAAGGAGGACCAGCCACCCGAGGTGATTCCGGAAGTGGTGGACGCGGTGGAGGGCGAAGATGCCGACGGAAATGTGGACGCCGATGTGGTGTCGTATGGGGTGTGGGCCGGGGCCGAGAGCGTATCGTAGCCGAGGCGTTGGCCGATGGGCGAGCCGGGCACCTCCATGGCCTTGAGCAGCTCGTCGGGCGCCGAGACCGGATCGGAGCCGCGTGACGAGCTTTCAGACTCATGAAGACGGAGCTGGTCGTAGCTGGGACGCGAGGCAAGAGTACTCGACGAGGCGCGGGCAGTGTCAAAGGCGAGCATGGAGGCGACGTCGTCATCGAGCGAAGCCAGGCCGAGGCGTGGTGCGGTGCACTGAGGCTGCGACGAGGCCGCGACCCAGGTGCGGGCTGATGCGTGGGCGGCGTCGGCAGCAAGGACGGCACGGCGGTCTGGGTCTGCGAGGGCGGCAGCGGCGGCCGAGTCGGGCGCGCGCGGCGGTGGAACGTCCTTGACGACGTGAAGAGCGGCGAGGCGGACCCAGGCCGGAGCAAAGGAGACGCGGGCAAGGGCGGGCGAAGGCGCATCGAGGCGGGCCGACGATGGCACATCGCGGCGGAGGACAAATGCGTCGGTGGCGAGGACAATGGGCGGAGCGTGGAGCGGAGTGATGGTGAAGACGAGCCGGAAGCGCGAGCCATCGAGCCGCAGGAAGACCGGGACACGGATGTCCGGCGAGTCGTGGTGGAAAACAGCTTCAGACACCGACTTGCCTGCCGTCCACAACGACCGCTGGGCACCGCTGCGGGGTGCAGATGAGCCAGTGTGGCCCGCGGGCGAGAGCGAGTCGAGGGCGACGGTGCGGGGGCCTGCGCCTGTAGTGACGGCGGCGTCTGCGGCAGGCATGTCGTTTGCGGCAAGAACCATGGTGACGGGCGGATGTGCGACGCGGGCATCTTCGGGAACAAGGGCGTATGTGACCACAAGCGAGGCGAGGTGGTACGGGCGCGGGCGGAGGACAAGCGAGGCGTCCGGGAGGGTGAACGACGGCGCGCGTTGGGCCTCACCAGCCGGCACGGTGTTGGCAAAGGGCGGGATGGAGAGGACGACCGTGGTGGCCACCCCCTCCAGCTCCACTATGGGCCCGCCTCCACTCCGGCGTCGGCTCATGGGCAGCGGGGGGTGGGGGGCGGGTAGACGGGTGGTTGGAGGGGGGGTATGGTGGGGGTATGGGGTGGTGGGGGGGGG